ATACCAAGGCAAAGCCCCCTTGAACAATCAATATACACTTAAAAAGACGAAGAACAGGAGGATAAAATGGGTCCTGTCTGGGGAAAGGTACCAGAGGGGAAGGCAAAAGGAGAGGATGAAGGAGGGGTAATATGGTGGGTGTACTTTGCTATGTGTACAAAAACTGAACAATGAAAGCTTGAAATTGTTCTAAGAAGGGGAGAAGGGGATGAGGAAGAATGATGGAGGGGGTAAATCTAATTAAGATACATTATAAGCACATGTGCAAATGTCACAATGAAACACCCCTGTACAACTACATGTTAAAAAAAAATCCCTGCTTTTTATATTTACTTTCCATATAAAAGAGGTTGGAGACTATTATGCCAGCCTTAAAAAAGCTCTAAAATTTGGATACATTCTACAACATGGATGAATCTTGGAGATATTATGCTAAATAAAACAAGCCAGCCTCTAGAGAACAATTATGTGATTCCATGTATATGAGGTACCCAGAACAGTCACATCCATAGAGACAGGAAGTAGAATGGTGCCGGGTCAGGAGAGAGAGTAATGAAGAGACGCTATTTAATGAGTATACACAGTGTTTTAGTTTGGGATGACCAAACAGTTCTGGAGGTGAACAGTGATGATAGTTGTCCAACCATGTGAATAATACTTAATTTAAGCTGCTGAATTGTCACTAGAAAGTGGTTAAAATGGAAAATTTGATGTTATATATATTTTACAGAACAAAATCATAAGTTCAAGGAAATGCCATTTCAAAAGTGTTTGACAGTTATCATCTACCTAATAAAAGCATAATAGGTATTTGTTGGTTGAATGAAAAAAAAGAGGTTGTAGTAGGGATATAAAAATTACTTTGAAAGGGAGGCACTGGGCTATTTGTCTTAACATTGATTTTTAATAACGATCACACTGGTTTTTAATAGACTGCATGTTTACATAAGATAGTTTGGGTGTGTGGGAAGGGTCGATGACCTTTATGAGGAAGGCCTAAAGCTCCCACCAAGTCATTACTTGGGCACCTAGTTCTCACTCCAAGGCTGTCAATGTCTTGAGAGCAGACCACACATTCCATGTTCTCGTGACACACAGTGGGAGTTCTAGAAATCTATTAATTTTCATTCCATTAGAGATAAGCACGGTTAAAAAGGATTTTCTTGCACCAAAATTAATCTTTAAAGTATTATTCATTATGCAAATTTTAAGATTAAAACTTTTAAAAATACAAGAGTTGAAAGGTTCTTTACAGTGCTTTCTAGACAATGATGATTATTTATTCAATGATAAATAAATTAGTTGACCTAACCACAGCTACTTGAAGGTTATTGTAAGAAAGTAGCAGTCATATGCTATGTTATGTATCATTTTGGTCATAGACTACAGTTGTGCCCCATTTTGTGGCCTAGCAGTGTACTTTTGGCTTTCTATTTGCTCTTCACTTTGTAGAAGCAAATGTTTACTTTAAACAGATGTTTACAAAATGTCAAATGGAGCAATACAGAATTCTGAATGTAACATTTGCCTCAAGGGAACATGAATCGATACAAGAATATTTATAGTACCTTTTATTTGAAAAGTTCAAAGTACTAAAAAGATATCAATGGCTCTTTCAGTCACCATATTTCCATACACAGATGCTCTTGCATTCTTGCTCTTCTTGCAACCATAAACAAATAAATGTTGAAGTTGGTTAATATTTATCTTCTTGCTCTGATTCTTATTTTTAATTTCCCCATTCTGCACTATCCATGAGGCAAGGAACTTGTCATATTTTTAAAAACAGACAGTTCTCCAATCAAATTGGGATTACATTTGATTCTTGTAAATTCTGAGGAATTAACTAGAAGGGTTTTCTGGAATTTGGAAGATCAAATCTTCATTTAATAAGCTGCTAATAATGAAAAATTAGGATAGCACTTTAAGTGATGCTTTAAGAAATATTAAAAGAACAATTTCCTTTGGTCATTTGAATTTAACTCCTTTGATCTTAATTTTAACTCTCATTTGCATGGAGGGGAAGCCTACCTTAGTCACTATACAGGAAAACACAAGATTAAATATCTACTGGTAAAGTTAGAAAATATTTAAATTAATTTAACTTGGATAATGAATTTAAGAGATTTTACATACTTAGTTGATAAAAATTAAATATGGCCTCTTTCTTAATAAAAGGAAGAAAGAAAGAAAAAGACTGCTCAAGTGAAGGAAAGAAAAAGAAAATAAATTCTGATACTTTCCATTATGGCAAATGGAAATACTTAATATCAATGAAGTAGATGCTTAATGACCTATGCTATTAATTTATTTTCACATATCATTCTCTATGTTTTATGTTCAAGTAAAGCTTCTTTCTAGGATGAGTTGGTGAGTTTAATCAAAGCTGCAAATAAGTTTTTCCAATTGGCATGGGTGTCCTCCTATATTTAATCAGGAACACCGAGGAGGTAACAAATCTGTTACATGATGATGGAAGAAATTATAAGGCACAAGACTTTACTGTGAGTTACTAGTCACAGCAATCTGTACTAAAGATCCATTAATAAAATCCTTTTATAACATGAAAGAGCTTGAATTAATATTACATACCACTTAAAAGAAACTAAATTTCAAAAATATGTTTACAAAATTCAAACAAAAACTTGACTAGGAAGAGATGTAAACATTTTGAATTTCTTAAATGAGTGACATTATTAGAGTAATAAAATTGTAGCTTTAAGAACATCTTATGTACAGACATGTCTTTTGACTTTTTTTGGTGAGACTGCTTGAGCCACACCTCCAGTCCATTTTACTCTGGTTATTTTGGAGATGAGGGTCTTATGAACTATTTCCCCCAGCTGGCATCAAACCACAATTCTCTCAATCTCAGCCTCCCCAGTAACTAGGGTTACAGATGTGAGCCACCGGTACCCAGCTGTACAGACCTAATAGGTTATGTCAGCTATTTACTGTAACAACAGTCATTTCCCACCTGTGTTTTCCATACATAGCTGCCTTATCTTTTAAAATTTGTTATCATTTTTTGCCTATTTTAAGTATCTTCTTTTCCTTAGCAATTCTGATACAGGAAGTACGAAATTTCATATCAGTATTATCTCCACTCCCTCACTTGTCCACTATCCCAGGAAACTATTTAATCAGACAAATTTGGAAACTACTCTACACTAATCTTGGGAGATGAAAGTAAAGTCTTTCATTTCTAAGCCAAGCAAAAATATTGACATAGAGTTCTGTTAATTTCATTAAGAGAGTCAAAGTATTTTAAGGACATTTATAAAAAGACTCATCTGAAAAAAGTTCTCATATGTGCCATTCTCGCCTATAAACAAAACGATGCTTGCTTGGGTTTAGTTAATTAATTTATATAACACAATTATCTTTTAAGCAATGTCTAAATAATACTAAATAGAATAAAACATTTTCTAATTGTTATCGTAAATAGAAATAAAGAAATATCTATATAACGAATTACCTTTATAACTTATGCTTCACAGGCTTCCTATGTCCCGTAAAACATTACCTTTTGTCTTTTCAGTAGTACCACAAATATAGATATAATTTAAATCTGTGATAAGGTATTTCCCATTAAAGGGCTTGAGTCTAGGAGGGTGCAGGAGGCTCATGCCTATAATACTAGCTACTCAGGAGGCAGAGATCCGGAGGATCACGTTTCAAAGCCAGGCCTGGGTAAATAGTTCCTCAGACCCTATCATGACAAAAACCTGTGGCAAAACAAAAGCTAGCGAACTGGCTTAAATGGTAAGAGCACCTGCCTAGTAAGTGTGAGGCCCTGAGTTCAAACCCCAGTACCCCCGCAAAAATGGCTTAAGTCTACCTGCAATTTCCAAGCAAACTGTGGTTAAGCTTAAAACTTAAAGAGGTAGCTTATTCTTTGCGAAAAGTAACTTTATGCATTTTAGGTAATCCTCTTCATGACGAAGAATTAACTTCAAAGGTAGTATAAAAATCCTCAAAAACGTAAAAATAAAGTAGGTTCTAAATAAGGCAGCAAACAAACAGCTGCATAGGGGAAAAAAAATGAGCTCTTCCATTGCCTGTTTATCCTTATATTTCCCATTTTAAAAGGTGAGAATGAGATCACTAAACTAATCCACCAGTCAATAGCGGTTCAGTGGATTATTTCCATCATTAGACTATCGTCAGGCTGAGCAGTACTGATTCTTAGCAACTTTGGCTTCAAAACTAGAAATTAGATGAATTATTTTTCAACATATGGGGTGCCCTTGAACAGTGTGTCCACACGGCCTTAATCCACTGTTCTTTTGTAGTGTGGATACTATCAGTGGGCAAACTTCTGTTTAGCAACATCTGAAAACTAGTTTTAAAAACATTCCAAAACATACACCATGACTGTCTATACGTCATGGGTGTACTAAATAACTCAGGCATTTTGTGTCTAACCATCTTTGCGATCGCGCCAAGCCCAGTTTAAATGTTTTTTCCACTATGCTCAGTCCACACCAGGCATGTCTCAAAACCAAAAAACCAAAAAACAAACAAACAAAAAAACCCCTCAAAACGCAGATCATTAATAGCAAGGAGGTAAAGATTTTTCTAAACATAGTCCCAGTATGTTTATTTCAAGCTCATCAAGTAGCTGAGCTACCACACTGAGCAGCATCTCTCAAAAAGCAAACCATGAGACCCAGGGCCACTTGACAGCTACGCCATCTACCTGTTGAACCACCGCCACTGCTCCCGGACAACTGTCAGATCAGCTTATTCCACCTAGAAATGCTAATGGAAAGAATTTTTTAAAAAGTAGGAAGTTGCTAGCTACTCCTCCTTCCCGCGCGGGTTCCTCTCGGTGGCTTCTGCAGAGCGCGGGCGCCGCGGCCCCATCCGCCCGGCTGGTGGCAGCAGCGATGCCGGGGTGGCCGGGCCAGGCCGGGGGCAGCCCCGCTGCAGGTACCGGAGATCTCGCAGGCCGGGGCCCGGGCCCGGGGCCCCCTATCCCGGCCTGATGGACTCACCTGCCCTGCGGAGAGGCGATGGAGCGCGCGCAGTCCGCCGGGCCCCAGGACCAGAGCTGAGGAGGAGGAGGCGGCGGAGATGGAGGAGGGGATAGTGGAGGAGGACCGGGGTGGGGGTGGCGTAAGGAGGATACGTGTTACCTAAGCCGGGGATGCGCAGCCGAGGAGTAGACTGCAGCCTTTCCCTCGAGAAACGGAAGAGGCGGGGGAGCAGCGGGGAGGAGGGAGGAGGGACACGCGGCGACCGCGAGAGGAGGGGGCGGAGGGGCGCGGAGAGGGGCGCAGGCGTCCGGCGCAGGATCGGCGCGAGCGCCAGCGGCAGGGAGGACGGCAGAGGTCACCGAGGGGAAGGCGAAGCCAGGACGACGCACAGCCTCGCTGGGCCTGGAGTCCTCCAGCTGCACATCTGCCAGGTCCCCGCCCCCTGGTTTCCCCTGGGACGGTGGCGTGGAAAGGCGCGGTGACGCTTCCAGGCTTCTGGGGCAGGCGAGGGCATCCCACGCCTGCCGGGGCCCGGCGTCCAGGACGTCACAAGTGGAGTATGATGATTCAGATGGGAGGGCCAGGAAGAAAAGGACTTCGGGGTCACCTCATTGTTTCTGTGGTTTCTTTGTAACCGCCCACAAACTCAGTTTTAAAATCTTCCTCCTCCATTCATCCGTACTTTTAAAAGGGGAAATTATGGGTTTGATAGATAGATTGGCAACTATGAAGATGGACTTTCTGCCAGTGGAAGTCGGGTCCCATTGTTCTGACAGAAATGGCAAGGATGCTGAATGTTGATCAAACCCTAGCAAAGTCTTCTGGACTTGTGCCTTTTCAGGTGTGGACCTAGGACCACGTAGACAGGAAATGTATCATGGGTCTCTAATCATGATCTTGCCTTTTAAACTGTTACTCAGTGTACTGCCCCCAGCTGGCTTCTGTGGTCTTCCTCATCCCCACACTCTTCTGGGCTTTCAATCACTAGGAGAGCAGATTCAGTTGATTTGACCTTCTCCCTCAGATTCATCTTTTATGTCCATTTTATTAGAGCTCCTTAGATCCATCCTGCTGGTACTGTTTATTAGACTCATAACTTTATCTATGATGACAAAATCAAAAAATACTTTAAATGTGATATTTGGAAGAAGCAATAACTACCAGAAGTAGTTAGAAGGGTAAGGGATCTGCCTTAAGGAAGCAAAACTCTAGTTTTAGGGAGGGTAGAGTAGGGGATAGGAATCTAGTCCATTTCTCTCTTTGCTACCACAGGGATCATCCTACATCACAAATCTCAATGGGTTTCTTGCTTGATTAAAAGTCTTCTTTGGTTCTCCATCTCTGGTAATATCAGGAGCAAAGTCCTGGGCGTGAATTCAAAGTCCATGGCTCCTCCCATCTGTCAACCCTGCCCCTCACACTTACCACTTCTTTTTTTTAATTTAATTTAATTTAATTTTTTATTCATATGTGCATACAATGTTTGGGTCATTTCTCCCCCCTTCCCCCACCCCCTCCTTTGCCCCTCCCCCCACCCCCTCCCTCTCCCTCCACCCCCTCGCTACCAGACAGAAACTATTTTGCCCTTATCTGTAATTTTGTTGAAGAGAGAGTATAAGCAATAATAGGAAGGAACAAGGGTTTTTGCTAGTTGAGATAAGGATA